GCAGTTTTCATATTTCCCCATTGACTTATAATGGTGAGGTCACGAAAATGACCTGACCTCATATGACCTTTAGGAAAAATCCGAGATATACATTATACAAGTTGTGAGACTCGTAATGGATACTAGATCCTGTAATGAATACTAGATAAGTTTCATTTCACTGTGAAAGCTCCTCTGGCAGTAAGGGCGTTGCGAAGTTGCGACATCAGAAGGCCGTGCAGAGGTTCACTTATGACGTCATAGGTCAGTGACCTGACCTGACCCGAAAATGCGGTTGGTGTCGAAAGATCCGGCTTGAATCAAAGGTCATGTATGTCAAGTTTCAGCTCTCTATCGCCAGCGTGTTCGGAGCTATCGCGAAAAAAAACCTATGGGGGGGGGGGCGGCACCCGCCCCCCCCCCCTCGGCCGGCGAGGGTTATAACGTCCTAGATCATTGGTTGACCTTCCAGGTCAGGTCAATGACAAAAAGTCGGAAAAATCGGAACTTATCACTTATCAGAACTCCGTAATGTGACCCTATGCCATCAAAGGTCAATGACCTGACCTAACCTCAGGTCACCTTGACACCCACCCTTATGCATGGGACCAACATGAGTTTATTGTATGAGTTTATTGTCATCATATCACATGTTTGAACGCTTGAAACCACAAAGACTGCAAACGCGCGGATAATGCGAGCCGAAATACGCCGAATCGCGATTTCGGCCATACTTGGTCTCAAAAAATAGGTCACAGGTCAAAGGTCATTCAGGTCAGGGTCATGGAATTTTCAGGGTAGGTGTAAAATTGCTTAACGTTCATGAAAGTGTCGTCGCGATCGACCGCTTTTTACGCGAGCTATTGGCGAAGAACCGTAGGGCCGGGGGGTTACATCAATCGGCAATAGGCTGGGGTTATAAAAAGTCACTTTTCACTTTTTACTAACCAAGGTAGTCCAGTCCAGATATGCGATATCATAGATATTAGATACCATGAATCTATGGCAACAAAGACAACATGATTCATGTTATCTATGGCAATATGCATGCTTTTTGGACGCCAGTAAGCAGGGGTACGGAGCCGGAGCCGGAGCCGCCGGAGCCGGCACATTTTTGCCCGGAGCCGGAGCCGGAGACGGAGCCGCCATGACATTTCACCCGGAGCCAGAGCCGGAGCCGGAGCCGATTTTATTTCTCCGAAGCCGGAGCTGGAGCCGAAGCTGTCTGAAATTTCCACGGCTCCGCAGTCCGCATCCCTGCCAGTAAGGCTTTCGGTGCCTCCCGAAACACTATAGTCTGAAGGTTGAGCGTGTTCTCAGTTCTGACTCCTCAGTCAATAATGACGTGCGCCAGGGTGGCGTTTTTCACCCTAATATACTTTTCAATTTGTATATGGATGCTCTGCATAGTTGGTGGTCTTGTGGAAACCATGCCAGGGATGTTTGGACGTTTCCCCTAATCACTTGCTCAAACACGGACCCGTCAGCCCATTGAAAGGTCACTGTTTGTCCAGTGTCCACGGCACCTGTGAAAGGGTCAGAGAACGGAAGAAAGTCGCTATTGTGGCCTGTGACATGTCGCGCTGGTCGGGGAGGGCGGAGGGGGGAGGGGCAGCGCCGTTTTCGCCGTGACGGCCGGCCCGTTGCGCTACGCACCAGCCGGCAAGGCGCTGCGCCTGGCCCGCTCGGCTGAGGATCCAATAATTAGGAAGGGAACGACATGTTCGCGTAAGCACGAACAGTTGGAGCATTTGGGGTGTGGGAGTTACAGAAACCAAGTATACCCGTAGGCACGGTAATACAGTGAAGAGGCAGAGCCGATTTTGCTCTTATTTTGCTTTTCTATGGACCCCCCCCCACGCACTGGGGGATCCAGGGTATACGGCCGGGAGTCATGATAAATGTAGGTAACCATTTCATGCAGGATTTGAATTAGGTACGCCGGCGTTTCTAACAGACTGCTAGCTCCAATTTTCAATATTTGTAGTGGTTAACCTATAGGCTATAGGCACCTACTGTAAGGAAAAATGGTCGTAATTGCGCAGCTTAGCTCAGCAAATCACATATGACCATAAAACACAAAGGATATGTTTTCCAAAAAAATAAAGAACAAAAAATAACGGAGTTCTGTCAACGCATCAGCGTATTGCGCATCAGCGTATTGTATCGCTCCCCCCCCCCCCCCCCCCCCCAGACCATCACCATTCCTCATTTACTCACCGCGTGCACTGAGTGCGTCTGCAGACGGAGGACATTAAATCGCGCTATCCCGCGCCCTGGTGGGGGGGGGGGCTATTTTTTGTCCCCCTCAAGACTTTTCGATATATCTCCAGAACCGCTGCGCCGATCGTCACCAAACTCTCAGTACCCTCCCGGGCATCAATTTTACACATTATGACCAAAATTATCCAAAAATTTCCAAAGGCTATGAAAGGTTAGCTGCAAATGACGTTAGAGTGACGTCATGTTCTGCCGTTTTCGACTCAAAATGGTTTCGTGGGAAGAGCTGTCAGGCCTATAGCTTTGAAGATAGGTAAGAAAAATATCTAAAACGTTAAAGGTGGAGAAATACAGGGCTACAAAACTGCTATCTCTGAATTTTGATTTTTTAGAATTTTGACCCCCAAAATTAATAAATGAATATAATTGCCAAAAATCCAAAGAAGTTTTTCGAATTTTGAAAAACGGAATATATGTAATAAAGCAGGTCTTACCAACTTCTATTCACATACCAAATTTCCGATCGATACCTCCTTTTTTGGTCAAGTTATATCGAAAAAAAACTTCAAAATTGATGACGTCAAATTTTCAAAGTCAATTTTTAGCAATTCTAGACTATCCTAGCGCAAAACAAAGACCACCATTAGAGAGCTCAGGAACACGAAGAGGCTATTTACATTGGTGTACGATGTCAAATACGAACTAAAAAATTGATTTGAAAAAATTATAATTGTATTTTTTGCAATAGAGCGTATAACTTAGGGCAATAAAGCTAAAACTTGCTAGAGCAAGTTATAAGCACGTGTTCTATCACATATATTCCGTTTTTTCGAAAAGTCAAAAAGGTTTTGAAAAAAGATAAAAGTATAAATTTTGAATTCTATTAAATCTAATTTTCAAAATTTTCAAAATTTTGAAAATCAGAGATAGCATTTTGATAGCGCAGTCATTTCTGAGTCCTCTCATGCAAAGAAATTGGATTTGGATTTATTTACAACCACCTAGATTTATGGTAGCTACGAAACTTATATTTTGACTCAAGGTGTCAAATTGATGCAGCCGAAGGTACTGAAAGTTTGGCGTCGATACGTCAAGCGGTTTGGAAGTTATTGCAGAAAAACGGGAGGGGGTATGAATAGCCCCCCCCCCGTGGGGCGCGGGTTAATTATTCAGCGTGCTCATGAACAGATCGATTTTGGCTAGCATCAGAGCTTCGATGTCAAACAACACGCTAGTGACGAACAAATACGTCATACATCTTACGACAGACAATTTGTGGAGAAATACATAAGTTAACTAACCCCATCTGGGATGCTACGTCTATCATGTGCCACCATGAATAGCCGGTTAGCACCGGCTTGAATTTTTGGCGATTAAATCGTGCATTGGACCCATATTGTAGTGACCTTCCCGAAGCTGCTGCGCGTCGACCGCTGAAGGTACCCTCTTGACCGTACCCGGTAAACGGGTCCGCGTATCGACTCAAAACCCGCTCTGCGCCACGCCAAAGCGGAGTGGGCGACCGCCCTAATGACCATGGAGTGTGCATGGTGCAATGTCCATCGATGGATCGACTTTGGTGCTGGAGTAGGGTGCTGGCCTTACTGGCGAGCTCGTCGGTCTTTTCTTTAGGAGGCGACAGCCCCAGTGCACTGACGCCCACTGCAGGTGGAGGGGCCAGACACAGCGCGATAAGGCACACGCCACTCTATTTGTCGGCAGCTGACGGCGGCCTCGGCCTCCTCGCCTCCGGGACGGAATAAAACCCGGATATTTTACATTACGAATCCATGACCTTTTGATGACCTTGGCTTGACCTCATGTCAATGATGTTCGGAATAGTGTCATAAAATTCTGCGAATTAGGTGGAGTGCATCAACCGCCTGCACCGACGAGGGTCAATTTTTATAAGTTGTCACGAAATTTCTACAGGACGAGACGGCCATCTCCACAAATAGAAATACCTACTTACCAACATCAGGCCTACCTGCATTGAGTTCAGAGCAAGGTATTCTTGGGCTCTGAGTATCAAGTGTATCACTGTCTCCCCTCGGGCAGCACCGGACATAACGAACAAAAACCCACTTGGTAGGTACGGGGGACCCAACGTAAAAACCCACGTGGCATGCCTGCCGACTGGGCGGCACGGCCCACATGGCTTGGTGAGTAGACGCAGCCGATACGCCGCAGCCCGCAGACACTCACTTCAAACCAAGATAAGGGCACCATAATTTCGAAACACCCTCATCGAGACGGCGCAGACACGGTCACACGGTGCGTGAACTAAACCCACCATTTGTGGAGCCAACAGCTACTATATACACAACACTCCTAACAAATGCAGCGGAGCACCCGCACCAGCTGTCGCGCCTTTCAATTATATCCAATCTAATCCAATGAGCGGAACTCTGCCTGCAGCGGGCGCTCGCTGCCGGGCGCTGTGTCTGTGGCAACTGTCGCGGGCGTGTCGCCCATCCCCGCTCCCCGAGCTCCAGCGCCATCCCTCCCAGAGCTCCAGCGCCCTCCCTCCCAGAGCTCCGGCGCCCCCTCCCTCCCGAGCTCCAGCGCCCTCCCTCCCAGAGCTCCGGCGCCCCCTCCCTCCTAGAGCTCCGGTTCCCTCCCTCCCAGAGCTCCAGTGTCCCTCCCTTCCAGAGCTCCGGCGCCCCCTCCCTCCCAGAGCTCCAGCGCCCTCCCTCCCAGAGTTCCAGTGCCCCTCCCTCCCAGAGCTGCCGGGCCCTCCCTCCCAGAGCTGCGGGGCTCTCCCTCCCAGAGGGCACCGAGGGCGCCCTCCCAGTCCTTACCGATAGTGGGTGACCGCCGTGATGGCCACCAGAGCAGTCAACACCACTACTGCCACCACCGTGCCCTTGCGCGTCATCGTGCCGACAACGCCGGCCTCAGGTCACCGGTTGCCGTCCTGACCTCAGGTCACCGGTCGCCGTGCTGAACTCAGGCCAAAGGTCGCTGTCCTGACCTCGGGTCACCGGTAACCGTCCTGATCTCAGATCACCGGTCGCTGTCCTGACCTCGGGTCACTGGTCGCCGTGCTGAGCTCAGGTCACCGGTAGCCGTCCTGTCTCCTCCACATCCGCCGCTCTGACGAGCAGTGAGCCGCGTCCTCTCCAGTCCTCGCGGTGTCCTCTGCGGCCTCTGGCGTCCGCTCCAGTCTCGGAGGCGCCCCGCCTCGTCCTGCGCTGTCAGGTTCGGGCTCCAGCCAGCGCCGCGCCGGCGGCTGTTGGGCCGGTGATGGCGGACGGGTGTCGACTGGTGCCGGCCGACCCTCGGCGGCCCATCTACATCGGGTCGACACCGCAGAGCACACAGAGGCGGCGATAACGCGCCGAGGCACGTCACCGGCCGACGAGTCAGCGCGCACCGAACGCCGGCCGTTATCGCGCCAGGTGACGGTCAAAAACACATGGCCGGCCGGCGGCCGACGCACGGGGACCCGCTCACGAGCGACTCGACTCGCCGGCGGCAGCACACGCCGACGACGACGCACGGGCGGCACTCCGCCGCTATCGACACACGACTGTTCGGCTCACGGCCGGCGGCGACCGACGCGACGCGACATCGCCGCTCACTACACACTACACAGCAGTCACGGACTGGGCGTTACGTGACGAGGAAGGTATCGGTGGCAGACGTTGAGGTAGGCTCACTGACGATGACTGACGGCTTATTGATGCGACGGACGTTGAGAGGCCCACTGATGGCACTGAAAGACGGCTAGCGAAACACCAGCTCACTGATGTCGGGTGAGTGTGGACGTCCGACGCCTCTCTCGACACCGACAGAACTGAATACCGCGCACTGGGCGGATGTCTGTCCACGTGAGCTGGGGGGACGGCGGGGGGGGGGGGGTGTTGAGCAGATGGACACAACCGGTTCGAGTCGCACCGCGCACCGGCGCACTCGCTGATACAGTCACCGCATTCTACCGGTTTATTAGCGTGGTGGTACTGCAATCTGATGCACGGCCGTCGCGGAGAGCAGGGTTATCTGTTATCGGAGAGCAAAAACACCGACCCGCCCGCCACGAGCACTCGGACCAGACAGACCATTGTCCGACTGTCACGGACCAGATCGCGACTGTCCACTGTCCACTGTCCACTGTCCAGTGTCCGCTGTCCACTGTCCGCTGTCCGCTGTCCGCTGTCCAGTGTCCCTCCGTCACAGGCACCCTCACCAGACAGTCCAACACGGACCCTCTCACCAGACTGTCCGCCACAGACTATCACACTCTCACCAGACTGTCCGACACGGACCCTCTCACAGCTCACAGTCTCACACTCTGTCCGACATCTCTCACGACTGCCTCTCTGGCCAGTCCAGCGCCCCTCCGTTACGGGCACCGTCTTATCACACTGTGCGCCCAGTGCCCACCAAGACAGAACTGGCACACAAAACCCTCGATCCCGTTCGCCCTCCCGGCCCAGCTGAACTCGTTGGTCCCCCCCCCCCCCTCCCCGGACGACCGCCCCTTCCCCTCCCAGCGGTGACCTTTGCCCTGGAATAGACTCTCTCGACACACACGGCAGTGCATAGCCGCGAATTCGCCGCCACTCAACACAAATAATCAGCAATTGGTATCATGCACATGTCCAAATAGGACTACTCAGTGGCAGCCCGTCGGCCTTTTCCGTCCCGCCTGGACAGGCCTGGTGGTGTGCGAAGGGTCGTTATCGCCGATCTGTCTGCTCGATGGTTTATGGATGACTAACAGATACGGCCTATCCACCCCCCCCCCGTTCGTCACCTACCCCACCAGGCGGACGCCAAAGCAGGTGGGTGTGTTACAAAGTTCCATTGGCATGGCAACCATGCCTAAACAACGAATATTTTGACACATTTTTGACACGCTTTGTGGCACCCGTAACCGAATTCGTGGTTTTCTTTCAATCGTCGAATTAGTCAGACACCAAGTATGTGAATTGTACGGCCCTCCAGGTACCACGCGGTAGGTTGCCAGCATGACAACAATTGTGTGAACATTGAACAGCGTACTTGTTCACAGTGCCCGTCAGTGTCCGCATGATACCTCTTCTATTGAGTGATTTTTCTGGAGTGGCCGTGTCATTCAAAGCTATTATCCCCAAAACTGATCGCCTGATCAACCATTCCTTTGCTGGAGGGCCGGTACGCGGTAATGGCGTATTTCCTTAACCCCTTGTCAATCCTTATAAACGAGCTCTAGTCCATCAGGAGCGGTTGTAAGATCGTCAAAGGCGTATTTCGCTCGTAGTAGATAAATTTGTATTTACGTATTAGGGTAAGAATACATCATCAGTAACGTCGCCCATTCATGTTACTGAACAGACATGACTGCCGCATATGGGTACTTGAAGCTAAGACGTACACACGCGCAACGAATCAGCGTTTTCGCTGCATTAGCACGTTCTATTTACAAATCGTTAGTATCGTGATATGGCCGTGATCGATCGCTTTCATCACGAAAGGGGACGAGTAATGGGCGACACCCAATGTCGTTGGTAGTCTCCCGATCAGCCGACCCGGCACCATTTACAGCCAGCTGGCTCAGTTATTCCAGGCGTCTCCCACAGTCTTCCCGGCGTCTCCCAGTCTCCCGGCGTCTCCCATTTGGCTGCCAGCGTCTCCCAGACCGACTCGGCTCCGGGCTCCGGCCGGCTCCGTCTCTCGGCTCCGCGGCTCCCGTGCGGCGGGCCTGGCCGCGGAGCGTCATAAGGGAGCCGCCCGGGCTCGCAGCTCGAGACGGCGTGGGTGACTGAAGGCCCCCGATGGCTGGGAGGGGGAGAGGGGACGGCGGGACGACCAGTAGTGAAACGGTAAAAATTGAGAAACTGGGGTGCATAAATTATATATCTGAACCAAAGGCCAGCGATCCTTCGGGACCAAGAAGAAGACTATATTATCCCAAAATGGGTTAGAGAATATAGTCTTGGGTTTGTGATAACCAAGAGGTTGTGTAACAATTTGTATGGTCACCGTGGACAGACAGCATGATCCCAGAGCGTTCGGTATATACTGCTGAGCCCACACCTCTTTCTCCGACCCCTTGCTCTAAGTCGTCCTTCGTCTCTTTTACTGGTCCTGCAAATTCATTTACGTTTTTTTTTTCATCTCCACCGGCCCCTTACTGGTCAACGGTGTCGTCCCCCCCCCCCCTACTCATGTTGTCCCCTACTGGTCGTATCGTCCGCTACTGAGTAACGAGGACGCCCCTTCTCCCTACTGGTCACCGGGGGACCCCCCCCCTCTACTAGTCACCGGTGTTGTCCTTTCTGATCGCCGGGAGACGCCCCCCCCTCTACTGATCACCGGGAGACGCCCCCTCTCCCCCTTCTGATCACCGGGAGACGCCCCCTCCCCCCTTCTGATCACCGGGAGACGCCCCCTCCCCCCCCCCTTCTGATCACCGGGAGACGCCCCCTCCCCCCTTCTGATCACCGAAGACGCCCCCCTCTCCCCCTACTGATCGCCGGAAAACGCCCCTCCCCCCCCCCCTACTCATCGCCGGGAGACGCCCCCTCCATCTACTGATCCCCAGCCGCGTGCCGTCCCAGTGTGTCCAGAAGTTGCTGTACGGTCGGCCGGTCGGCCGGGTCGGCGCTCGGGTGGGACAGCATCAGCCGACCGCTGCTGTCCAGCAGAAAGTCGCCACCGAGCTGGTGGGGGTCGGCCGGGCCGCCGCGGTACGGTACCTCCAGTGGAGGAGAGTCGGGAGCCTCCAGACGTCGCTCAGCCTCCTCCAGCAGGGCCGAGTGACTCCATACCTGGCGGCGGAGGGAGGAGCTAATTGACTCACACCTGGCGATGGAGGGACGAACTAACAGATTCACACCTGGCGGTAGAGGGAGGAATTAACAGATTCATCCTGGCGGCATAGGGAGGAATTAACTCGCACCTGGCGGCGGAGGGAGGAACTAACACCTGGCGGCAGAGCGACGAACCAATAGACTCACACCTGGCGGTGAAGGGAGGAACCAATAGACTCATACCTAGCGGCGGAGGGATGAAATAAAACCTGTCTCCACATACGAACCAACCTTTCCTTTTTATCCGCCTTTTCGCCTACCTTGCCCACCCCTGATGGCGGACGGAGGACACACACGCTCACACTAACACGTGACCCCACCTGTTGCAGGTCGGTTGGCAGTCCCAGGGCGGTGTAGAGGCGGCGCCGCGGGTCCAGCAGCACCGGGAACGGGCAGCCCGTCTCAGAGAGCCAGCGGAGCACGGCGCCACGGTCCGAGAACGACACGACCAGCACGGCGTAGCGCAGACGCTCCAACTCGGCCTGGGCGGAGACGGCGGGGAGCTGGGGTCAGCAGGGACATGGGCCCGGTGCGGCAGCGACAGCAGCGACGAGCACCGTCACCTCACAGTACGTGCAGTACTGCAGTACACAGTGCCTTGACCTGGGGTCAAATTTTCAAGTTGACACTTCGAGGTCAACTTACAGTTCATACGATGCGTCTTGACGAGACGCACACGATGTTGCTAAAAGTAAGCTCGTGCAAGTTTTGAGTCAAAGGTTATTGCAAAAAACAAGAACGCAAAAAGTATACTTTGGTAGCTTTTGCCCCATGCAGGATAAACCGTTCTATAGCTATGCGCCAGTTTGTCGAAAATTATCGAAGCTTGACCTGGAAAGTGGCGAAATTTTACCTTCGGTGATGTCTGGTGACCTGACCTTTGCCTGACCTTAAAAGTGACTAATGTAATTTCTTCATTATTTTTTAGCTCTTCCTAACGCCGCCTACGGCGTGTTGCTACGTGTCCCAGGAAGGGGGATGTTCAAACACCCCCAGCAGGGCGTGTAATTCCAGGACCCCCAGCGGGGCGCGAGTTAACGCGTGCACACGAGATACACGTGTTACGCTCCCGCAGTGGCGGATCCAGGGGGGGGGGGGGGCAAAATTGGCATTTGCCCCTCCCAAACGGCATAATTTTAACATTACGCCTTATGGACGAGGCATGGAAAGAATCGATAAATTGTTATGGTTTGCCCCCCCCCCCCCAAAAAAAAAACTCTGTACTGGATCCGCCACTGCGCTCCCGGGAGTCCCCGCGCATCCCCAGCGTCTGCCTCTCGGGTCGTTTGCAAGTGAAATGATGGGAGAGCCTCAGGGGCTCCGCTCCTCATGTGCGCCGTGACTGATGACGTCATCCTGCTCAGCTGGCCTTCCAGGCGAGTCGGTACTGAAACGGTGCCAGGCGGCCGCCACTAGTCAGAAGAAGGGGGTGACGCGAGTGGCATCATCACAGTGGCCAGGGCAGTTGTCAGTGACTGTGGCGTGGCGATAACAGTAGACAGCTATTCACCAGTGCCGTGATCGACTGCACGTCGTCAATAGCGAGCTGTGAGTGTAGGAGAGCGACGAGGGACGACTCATCTGCAAATGCGCCGGTCTAAAGCGAGGGAACTGTCAGCTGATAAGCTCACGTGCAATGACAAACGTTGCGCCCATCGCAGTGTTGCTGATTTTGTCGGTCACTGTCATAATCCTGTGGTTTTTGAATGAAAGACTGTATTGCTGCTGCTGGAGGAAAAGGGCGTTTCCGCGTCTACATAATCGCGAATTAGATGGACAGTTGCAAGAGCATCATCACACAAGGCGGCGGCAGCAGCAGCGACAGCAGCGTTGCCAACTAAATCATCCGCACCATCATTCACAGCAGCAACAACAACAGCCACAACAACAGCAACAGGGACAACGGCAGAATCATGATTACCATCTTGACTTCGGTAGGCCCTACCGAAGTCAACGCTCTACGACTCTCCCGCGAACTCAGCCGCTGAATCACTTGTATGGCACTGGTGAGTGGGAGGACGTCAGAGTAAATATGCCGCCTGTGGCATCAGCACATGCAGATGACCAGGAGCTACTGTACAGTGTTGAGTGGCAGGTACCCCGGGTGAATATACCGCGGATGTGTATACCACCCCTTGCAGAGAATCAGCAGCCGCAGTACAGTCCTGACTTGCAGGAACTCAGGGTAGATATGCATCTGCATCTGCATCTGCCAGAAGCTGCTGCCAATGGCCAGCAGTCACAGCACAGTTCTGACAGGCAGGATCTCTGGATAAGCATGCCGCAGATTGACCTGCCATCAGCGACTGCAGACGACCGGCAGGAATGGCCTGAATGGCGGCAGGGTATAGGACAACTGCTACCTCGCCTTTCCGCTTCGCGGAATTACAACCGTCAGGGACAGAACGTGGCAGAACCTTCGTCTTCAGCAAGTTTGAGCTCAGCGCCAGTGGCGGAACAATCGGACATCAGCCAAAATGACCCACCTCCATCGTACGAGGAGTGCGCGTCCCCTCCCTCTTACGATGCCATCGTGCGGCGACTTCAGCCTCTCATACAATTCCCACCCCGTCCCGCTCCCTAACTGACCCGTCTATCCTACAGCTCCCACCCTGTCCCGTCTCCCACTGACCCGTCTATCCTACAGCTCCCACCCCGTCCCGTCTCCCACTGACCCGTCTGTGCTGCAGCTCCCACCCCGTCCCGTTCTCCCACTAACCCGTCTGTGCTGCAGCTCGGCGACGTGCCGACGTCACGGCTGTCAGGCAAGGTGTCGGAGTAGCACCAGCAGGCGCGGCCCGGCCGGCTCGTAGAGCGGCCGCAGCAGCCCGCTGCGGGCCTCCGCCAGCTGCAGACGGCCGCACGGGAGACCGGTGTGCAGCCGCGGCCCCGGCACAGAGTCGGCGCCCAGCCGCGCGCTGAGGCGAGTGATGAACTGGTCCCACTCTGACTGTGAGCAGGGGATGGGGAGGGGGGGGGGGGTGACAGCAACAATGGGGGCCGACGGGAGGGGGAGGGATAAAATTCCGACTGCAGGCGGGCCGCCGGGCGGGAGATGCCACAGTAAAACCCCGACTGGGACAGACGGACGGGAGAGGGTGACAAGACCCCGACAGTGACGGGACCAGTGAAGCCTAGCCGAGGAGGGGCCTGCTAAATTTGAGTCACCGAAGCAAAGGACATTCTTGTCCATTCCCCAGGTCAATTGGTTCGGTGAATTTCAAATGATAGCAGGCCCTTCCTCGGTCAGGCTTGATGGATCCACCGTTACTTTGCGCGGTACTTTTTAAGACAGACTGTACTAGGCGGTACTGAGTAGCGAGTTGTATTGCCCAGATACCTACCCAGTTATGAAAAGTGCGGTCTAGCTGTTAAACTGCTAATTCTCAAATACCCACCTCCGCATCCATCAGGGCATCAATGGCCGACATGGCTTCCTTGTCATCACTGGCCCGAGCCTTCTCCTCCAAAGCCTTCCGCGATTCGACGCCGCAGCTGTCCACAAAAGAAAGGACGCGTTTTGGTTGCCGTTCGTGGGAAAGGAATCGCGATATATTTTCCATGCCGAAAATCTGGTAAAATAAAAATTGTTTTCACAAGGGGTAGTGCATAATCCGCATATAGATCGCTGATGTTCATGAAGGAAGCCGCTGTAAAAGTGATGTGTCAAATTATTGTCGTGTAATCTAATGCAACGATGGGTGAGACGACAATATAAGGGAAAGCAGAGGAAATATGAAGTGTACAAATCCATGTTAAACATAGGTGGATACCTGTTGAAGAGTCCTTGATACATCTCGATAAGCCCACCGAGCATTTCAATCTTGTTCGACAGAAACTGAGATGCCGGAACTGAAAATAAAATAGCTAAATTAGGACACGCAAAACAAAATGCATCACTGAATAGAAGCAAACTGAACGGAATCAAACGGCCCTCTCACGGGCTAAGCAGCGCCCTGTGTCATAAAAAACAGCGCACAAACGCTAACTTGGCGTCGCGTTCCACCGCACTTCGTCAGCACGCATTCCGACTGACCAATAAAACACCACTTTTATCACTTGCTGGCACCCCACGGCCACGCAGTTGATGGCCCGAGTCTCATCGCCATAACCAGCAAACGGTCCGAGCGGGGCCAGCGGACGATGGGCCTTCCCTCCGTCAGTACCTGACCTCCAACGGTAGACGGACCTCCTCTGTAATCTGACCTCCGTCTGTCATCTGACCTCCTCTGTCATCTGACCTCGTCTGTCATCTGACCTCCCACGGTGGTTTGAACACCCCCTGTCATCCAACCTCCCTCTGTCATCTAAGCTCCCCTCAGTCATCTAACCTCTCTCTCTATCATCTACCTCTCCCTCTGTCATCTAAGCTCCCTCTGTCATCTACCTCTCCCTCTGTTATCTACCTCTCCCTCTGTCATCTACCCTCTCCCTCTGTCATCTAACCTCTCCCTCTGTCATCTAACCTATCCCTCTGTCATCTAAGCTCCCTCTGTCATCTACCTCTCCCTCTGTCATCTACCCTCTCCCTGTCATCTAACCGCCCTCCCTCTGCCTTTTGACCTCCTACGGTAGACGGACCGATCCCCTGTCATCTGACCTCCCACGGTGGGTCGGACCTCACCTCTGTCCAGCTGCTCGCCAGCAGCCTCCGCCAGCTGGCGCGAGCTCTCGACGAACGAGCGGACGGCGGCCGGCAGGTCGGGCGTCGGGGCGGCCGCAGCAGCAGCCATGGTGCCGGTGCCGCAGGGAGGCTCCTGCTGCAGGTGCCACGCACGCGGGAGGTCAGAGCTGATTGCTGAACGACAGGTCAGGCCACCGACGATCACAGACTGAGTCCGAGTTCAGCAAGCAGAAATGTGTTATATGTTGTAGGTACCTACATTGTAAGGATTTTCGGAATAAAGTCAACCACAGATTCAAATATACAAAAATGTGATAAAAAATAAACTTCATCGTTGAAAAGAACAATTAATATAGAAAAAGATGAAATGAAAACAAAAGAGAAAAATGAAGAAACTGAAAACATCTTACCTGAGGGTGTAGCGCTTAGTCTAGTAGATTTCTCACAAGACCCGACCGATGTTACCATCCAATAATCACTACCCTCTTTTCCCTGACACCATGACAAAACATAACGAATACGACCTCGCACCGTACCAACAGAATCACAGGGTTCACGGCTCGACCAGCTCGACCAAAGTTGGACCAAAGTGTCGCTTCAATATCACTTCAGCAAACGACAACCAAGAAACCGTCGCCGTCGGCGCAGTCGGCACGTTCGGAACTGACTGCAGCGTCCTCCGGCGCGGCGCAGAGGCCGAGCTGCTCTGCACCCTTCTCCGTACCCGTCGGCCGGGCTGAGCGGGCCTGGGCACGAAGCATGCCTCGTTTACAAGCGATTTTCATTGGAGCCAGACGGGAGGCGCCGTCCCGGCACGTGCACAGGCACGGCGACGGGCCGACGGAGGTCGGCGGCTGATGTAAGGGGAGCGGCGACTGAGTCCGACCGGGATCAGCGGGCGCAAATCGACAGGCAGCAGCCTGGTAGGTCAAACCAGCAGGAAAGGAATGAATATCCAGGACGAAAGACGAACGAATAGTCAGATAATAGCTAAAAGAATCTATAGAAACCAAATCACATGATTAGATGTGTTCCTTGAATCTTGTGAACAATTTTAGGGGCAAAGAAAGAGCAAGAAAGAGCAAAGAGTATGTGTAGCCATGCATAATCCCGGTGTTAACCTCATGGTCTTCTATGCATCGTCATATCCGGATCGAGAGTTGAATTGCGCATTTAGCCCAAATCGACACAACAACCGTGGTAGTATCGCGTTTATAAACACTCGCCGATACGTGAGCCACCATATATTGCGGCCTCGATGACAAGGTCATGGGGAGTTCAGTACTGCTGATGACTCGTGTCCGTACATAGCCTCACATCTCGGTATATTCACAGGCCGGGTACGGCATACCTGGCCGTATTTAACAATACAAACATACTGCGCATGATGAAAACACAATGAACGACTATCTACTCCTTCTTCCCCAGACTTCGTATCCTTTTCAACTCCTTGTACGGCGCGTCCATTTGAACTGTAATAAGAAAGAAAACAATCACGCTGCTTCATATATGAAAAGGGTAGCTACAACAATAACCGAAAAATCTGAACATTTGATGCTGCAGACTGGGCTTTGCAGGTAGAAATCAACCACGGACAATTAATAACATCCAACAAACTCCATCATGTAGAGGCCAGTTTTGCCAACAGAAAAATAGACGGCTGCCAGTATTTCTATTTCTAAGTCTCCCTCGAGGTCGGCAGTCTCCCTCAATGTCGGTTAATCACGCGAAAGAAATAGCGGCTGATGTCAAAGCATATCATCAGGGTAGGCTGATATCAATACTCACATCAGTTGACTTTTTTCGCCTGGATGGTGAAATTCGGGAACGAGTTTAGGCAAAACATTCCGGCAGCGGGCGACTTTTCGGTTAATAAAACTGGCCTCTGAGGCATAAAAATAGTGACTGTATTGAGCAAACATAACATTAAAGCAGCGGCAAAGGGAATGCTTAATAGCAAGCTGACAATTGAGATGCAGATTGCAGATAACCAAGTACTTACTGAATGGGTCGAATGCTATCTTTTCCACTTTATCATCCAGCCTCTGCCGGATGGCCGTCCTCTTGTGGCCGGTGATCATGCTCTGTAGTAGGACCATCACGTCCCTGAGAAAAACAAACAATGTTACGCACACTGAAGGAAAACCACTATATTCTGAGAAAGGTGAACTCGTTCCAATTAGCTCAGAGAGTAGAACATCGGAGTCTCGGACTGACGGTGATTAGTTAGTGCCCGTTTCAAGTCGCTCCCCGCTCTATAAATGAGATATCTGAGTATGGTTTGGGGTAGGCGAGAGAAGTGGCAGCAGCCAGTAAGTTGGACAGATCCTGTTACCTACAACCTACCAACCTACAGCATTACAACCTAGTACCCACAAACCTACCAACCTACAACCTAAAACCTATAAAACTACAACCTAACCTAACTTACAACCTAAAAACCTACAGCCTACATCCCACAATTTATGCTGTTGCATATTTGTATCAACAGTGCCAAATTGTACATTGGACCTTTTCTGAACAAATACTGTAGCATTATCTATTGTCATCACCAAGGAATATTAGAAAGCTGAACAGTAAACTTACTTTGACTTTGGTTTCTTCAGCAGGGCTCTTGTTAGAAACATGTTGAACTTCAGCAAACCTGAGGAATAATTGTAGCCTGTAAGTATGTCAGCATCAACATCTGGCTTCGATTCCCGGGCAATGCATGTGGCATTGCCGCTGCTTGACCGCTTGGAATAGCATTATAGTTCAGGTTAGCACCTTGGTTCACCGGATATGGTGCTAAGTCCAAACCAACCAACCAACAAACCAACCATCAACATCTGGTAATCAACATAAAATTTCAACAACAAACATCAGTTATTACTGAAAGCAGACTATTCATTAGTAGGTATACAATGGCTATACAGTTGCCAGTTTGACTTTGGGCTAAGTCCACAAACTACTATTAATATTTCAGGCCAATTCATTTTTTTATGACAATGGCAAGGACAAGCTATTTGAGCAGTAAGAAAACTAGCCAGGAAAGGCCTCTAAGACACAATCAGCCCTGAGAATGTGAAAGCCATTTGTAAACACTTGAGTTGAGCACATCAACATGCTGACAGCTGAGGCATTTTTTCTCCATTCAATGTATTTCACTTCACTGTGGAACTCATTGCCATATGATGTTGTGTGTGCACCAGATGTTACCAGCTTCAAACGCTTGCTTGACACATGGGGCGTTCCACGACAAATCGACAAGTGCTCTGCACCCTCATATTTTATTTTTGCTTAAAATTGGTCTAATGGGTTGTGATGGGCGGGGAAGCCATCTGTGGCAAGGATTTTTTTTCTTCGAACAACGGTTTCCGAGATATAGCCTCGGGCTATTCCTGGAGGTCACGCTGCAACCCTATGTTTGGCGGCTTAAAACTAAGAAACTATTGGTTTTCTACGATAAAAACTTTATATGGTTCAAATCACAATCAACCAACAAACATTTTGGCTATCTCGGATTTTCAATTTTTGAAAATTTTGATCACGTGACCTTTTGTTCTATTTTTCGAAGAGTGACCTTGATATTTTCCCCACTGAAAGTTGCAATTTTGTCTGATGACGATTAAAGCCTTATCAATTGTCATTCATATGCGATAATAAAAAAGTGGTTATCGCCCTGCGTTGACCTCAGGTCACGTCATTTTTATGACCTGTCCATTACTACGAGCGGGAGCGTCAGCGAGATCTCGAGAACAAAGCAAGATAGCGACAAGCGGTAAACGGTACAGGGTACACACGGATAAGGTCTATAATTTTTACTGAGGTCATTTGCAGGTCAGGTCAAAGATGACGTCACAGGAGCAAAAAGGAAGTCAAAATAGCGGCACTACATATATGAAGTTTTTCTCGAATAACTTTCAAGGTATCCCAGCTAGGAACAAACTAATAGCACCATCGTGATCCTCTCGTCGATCCGCATCGAAACATATGTATGTTGACCTCGAAAGGTCGAAAGGTCAAAAGTTGACCTTAGGTCACGTGATCTAAGGTCAACTTTTGACCTTTCGACCTTTCGAGGTCAACATATATATATATATATATATATGTTTCGATGCGGATCGACGAGAGGATCACGATGGTGCTATTAGTTTGTTCCTAGCTGGGATACCTTGAAAGTTATTCGAGAAAAACTTCATATATAGGTATGTATAGTGCCGTTATTTTGACTTCCTTTTAGCTCCTGTGACGTCATCTTTGACCTGCCCTGAAAATGACCTTAGTAAAAATTATAGACCTTATCCGTGTGTACCCTTTACCGTTTACCGCTTGTCAATCTTGCTTTATTCTCGAGATCTCGCTGTCGCTCCCGCTCGTAATAATGGACAGGTCATAAAAATGACCTGACCTGAGGTCAACACAGGGCGATAACCACTTTTTTATTATCGCATATGAATGACAATTGATAAGGCTTTAATCGTCATCAGACAAAATTGCAACTTTCAGTGGGGAAAATATCAAGGTCACACTTCGGAAAATAGAACAAAAGGTCACGTGATCAAAATTTTCAAAAATTGAAAATCCGAGATAGCCAAAATGTTTGTTGGTTGATTGTGAGTTGAACCATATTAAGTTTTTATCGTAGAAAACCAATAGTTTCTGAGTTATAGGCCGCCAAACATAGGGCTGCAGCGCGATCTCCAGGAATTGCCCGAGGCTATATCTCGGAAACCGTTGTTCGAAGAAAAAAATCCTTGCCACAGCTGGCTTCCCCGCCCATCACAACCCCTTAACCAGTTTTCAACGAAGAATAAATATGAGGGTGCAAATTTAATTTTTTTATTTGTCGATTTGTCGTGGAACGCCCCACATGTATAACAGACAGCCTTTACAACTTTTTAGATTGATAGGTACCTGCCCGACATTGTGATTATGCTTGCGACAAGTTGCTCATATTGTATGTTTTTTCCGAACATAGGAAAAGCAAAAGGCTTTACCCCGATGAGACGCACAATTTCAGTCAATGTCAAACTGCACGATTAAGGAACCAGCCAATGTAACGTAGGACTGGCATGTCTCTTGTGTTAAGGGTTCTAGTCATTGCTCATTTACCCTGAAGTGAAACAGAAACCCAAGACATGATATGATGATGGAACCCAACGAGGTAAGAATACAAGGTAAGAAACATACTTGAGATACAGGCATGCCTCAGCTGTCAGCATGAAATATGTGCTCTTTCTTCCTGTTAACTATTTGATTTCAAATAAAAAGTTGAAATAAAGAACAAGAATATCATTGCCATAAAGACATTTAAATCTGAATCTGACAATCTTGCCGTTACTTACCCTTCCCAAGGGGCGCGGTGATAATAAATAACTACCAAAGATGACTGTGAAATGTAGTCCTTTTAATCAGCATAGATATCTTCAAAAAATTCGATTAAATATTGAATAAAAGAAACAAGGGCCTGTTCCAGCGCCTCCAGAAACCTCCAGAAAGCTCCAGAAAGCTCTAGAATCCTCCAGAGAGCGTTCCAGCGCCTCCAGAAAGCTCCAGAAAGCTCTCGCCAAAGCTCCAGAAACCTCCAGTAGCCTCCAGAGAGTTGAGAGGTCCAAATTTCTCTGGAGGCTCTGGTCTACAATTATGGCGCACATGTGACAATCACGAATGTAAACAAAGGACATTTGACTGATTATTTTACAACTTGAATGTAAAGAAAATTACATTGCTATAATTTTCTTAATCTTTCTTAATAAAATTGAAAACAAATTTTGCGTTTTAAGAGAGAGCAATCGTCATTCTTTTGGTATATGTGATGCCAATCTCCAGAAATCTCCAGATTGCGTTCCAGCGCCTCCAGTAAAACCTCTGGTAGAGCCTCCAGTCAAGAATTTCTACTGGAGGCGCTGGAACAGGCCCTAAAAATATTCGCACAGCAATATCACGATATCAAGAGCTCGAAGATTCCTTGCGCAGAAGACGTCCCAGCTGCGCAATAAATGATGAGATACAATCAAAGTCATGACCACCAAATAAGTTTACTTGTTACAACATTTAGATAAGTAAATAACAGTGGCATACTTTTAAGTCTCTAAATAATATTATGAGCGCATACTGCCACATATTCCAATTTATTTCGAACCGTATGCAAGAATAACAACTTCATCTTTAAATCATGAGGAAAAATAAAAGCCGTCCCCAAAGGGCGCTGGTGAGCTGGTGCGGCGGCTGAAATCACTATAGCTTCGGTACTTCGCCGCCAGGTAGCGCTGCCTGTCAATCTGCAAGCTTCAGGTAGTTTTCGCCAATGCGACTATCGATCTTCACTTCAGACTCGTCAGGGGCGGGCTCGTTCTCCTCCAGGGGACTGCGGCGGCACAAACTGAGGTCGACCCGAACCGGGCTCATCTGTTCCGGGTTCAGCCAGGGCTTGTGGACGGTGTCGTGTTTCCGTTTCCAGGCAGGGTAGGCGAGGGCGGCTTTGTGGAGCCGGCGCACCAGGCCCGGCGCCAGCGTCTGCGTCACCTTGTTGACCAGCCAGGCGGGCAGCCGTCCACCAGGCTCGGCGTGGGTCACATAGTGCAGCTCGCAGCCGCGCGGGCTCAGGGGACGGATCACGAACCCGGTCAGGTGACTGAAGGCTCGCACAAAGCCCGGCCGCGGCGGGTGCTGCGCGTGAAACACCGAGTGGCTCATGACGTAGTAGGCGCGCTCGTCGGCCAGCCAGGAGCGCAGCAGCACCATGTCGCGGTTGCGCAGCGGCGGCGGACAGCGGGCAGCGTAGTAGCTCAGCTCGTTGGAGGCGTTGAGGCAGCCGATCGGGCTGGAGGCGAGCATAAAACGGTCCCAGGTGCGGCGGTACTCCGAGTCGTGCAGCACGTCGTACAACACCGGCGCAGAAACGTCGCTGAACATCGTCTTCACCTTGATCATGTGGAAGTTGGTGTTGGTAGCGGGCTTCACCCAGACCCGGAGCGGCGCCTGGAAATAGTCCAGTTTCCAGCCGTCCAGGCTGTCCACCACGAAGGCGAGCTCTTCGAAGTCCTGCTCATCGGCCACGCGCACCTCGCCGAGCCTCATTTTGGAGGGGATAGGCGGGGAGCGATCCAGTGGAGAGCTGGAGACAGAGCCCGATGTCGAGCGCGCTCAACTGAGCGACAGAAGCCGAGTACCAATTATCGTGCGGGTTTCGAAAACAAAATAGATTAAATTAAGAAAAAAAAGATTAAGCTGCCAAAGGAATCAATTAAACGGGGCCGTTAAAAAGGAAATGTTGGGATGGACGTTCAGCAAGAAAATAATGAAATAAATGTGGCGCAACCCGCGCAACCCACGGAGAATATCCGTCAACATTTATAGACACGTGTGTCGTTCTTAGTTGTAAACCTCTCATCAAACGAATCCCTTCAATAAATTATCACGGACCAATTTTCCTGTCGTTCCATGCGGGGCAACGGTTCTAGATAGCCCGTTTTATTGGTTTTGGAAGTGCTTTCCACTTTCCAGTTAATAAAACATGTATTCTAATTTCAGTCTCAATTGGAACAAGGAGTCGTAATTCGGTTCTTAGCAAATCGATTCCAGAGAAACGGGTTAGGCAGAGGTTGAAGAGTTTCTTCCGTACCTACTGTTGATAATTTTACCGAAAAGCCAGCAGGAAAAATAAACGGTTTGCTTGTTGCCGCTATACAACGCACAAATATCCCATCGCTCCCCACGGCCATTTCGCCGCCTCTCCATTCGTTCAGTTCGATCCGGTGGGGTGGGGGCCCGGGGCGGCCACGGTGGGAGGGGCGAGGGCACCGCTGGTCGTCTCACGGACTTCCGGACCTCCCTCGTGCCGTGCCGGACCGTGCCCAGTCACGGTTTGGAACAAGGAGCCGTCATCGGGAGCGCCGCTCGTCAGTCTCTGCCACCGCCGGCCGGCGGGCGATCCCATCCCGCAGAGCAGCCTCCGACGCGGATGTGACCATTCCGGGGCGTCCGGAGGGCGTCCGGAGGGCGTCTCCGGGGGCGTGGGCGTCTGATGGGCGCGGCGTAGGGTCTCGGCAACAATGAGAGGGCGATCACGATCAGTGCCGGCGTGGTGACAGCTGGGCTGAACCCGACCCCGGTGCCTGGGAGGACCGGCCAACCGTGAGGGGGCTGTTTCGGCACCGGGGAGGGGGACGGGGCGCGGGGGTGTTGGTACAGTTCACGGCCGTCCCATGGCGCCCGGGAGTAAATCATCGCTGTCGACTTCCCACGCGGCCTTCAAACTGTATCTGCTCGGCACGCCAGGCGCCAGATAAACTGTCCGGCAATTTGTGCATGCACCGGGGGCGCTCGGACCAACAGGCTGATAGTCGGGCTGATTTACTGAGGGACGCGGTAACGTCACCGCCCGGGGGTGGTTGGGGGGGGGGGGGCAGATTGGAACAGAGCCACGCGTTGGCAGAGCTCTGCCGCCGCGGGCGGACCGTCCTCGGCCTCCGGCTTAGAACGGCCGTGAACTGGGCCTTGAGTGCGGTCAGCCCGCCGGCGAGCCTCGGGTTCATGTGCGTCTCGTCCTGAGGTAGGCGGCGGGGTCAAACACCTGAGGTTCTGCAGTCAGCACAATCTGCAGATAACAACGCAATGCAGCGCCTGTGTGCTGCCACCTCAACCGACAACCGGGCACTAAGGTCTGAGGTCGCTAAAACACGGCGGCGAGTGAACTAGGAACTGGAGCTCAGTTGAGACTGAGGTACGAACCCTGGCGATTTTTCTGTATCGGTGCATGCATGTTGACTCAAAAGTGACGGTTCCTTAGGCACCCATAAAAATGTCATTTGTAAGGACGTCGATTGTCGAATGCGTGGTTTATAGGTACGTCAGAATGACACAATGTGCTCATTAACCCTATTAGTGACAGGCTCCTGCTGCCCCCATTAGTGGCAGGGGGACGCTGTTTCATGTTCTTGAGCTGTTTGGATGCCACTGCTGCCGATCGATGCAAAATGAACCAGCAACTGACACGTATCATCAATACCTCCTGATCAAATTGAGCTAGAGAGTCGGGAAAACCACCAATGAACTCGGCAAGACCTGCCGAATCGAATGATATGCGACATGACCTACTTCGACCAAGTTCGTGACCTGGGAGCTCTGAGTGACCTGACCGCGACCCGAGGTCACCACCTAAAGCTAATCTCACCCAAACAAAAGTATACCATTTGACGCGCCTGAGCAAGGCGAACGCGATGTTGTCAAAATCGCGGCTCTGCGCTCATTTTGCGAAGTCATTTGCCAAAATGCGAGACCGTACCATAAACCGCTTGACCTGACCTCAGAGGCCAGCGGCTGATCTGAGACCCTAAAATCAGGTAGCTACCAATCGCTGCATCTCGTAACGGCGCACACGCTAGTTTTTTTCCGCGACGCTCTAGCTCCATTAGGGGCGAAACGGCGAAGGGGTCGTACACTCGGGGGCAGATTGATGTTCCACCACTCCCTACCCATCGGGCGATCCCATGGCTCAGCACTGGCTGCTGTCAATGTTGCCTGCCCTCAGCACTGCCTGCCAGTGCCAGTGCTGCCAGTTCTGCCACTGGCAGCAGCCAGTGCTGAGCCATGGGAGCCCGATGGGTAGGGAGTGGTGGAACATCAATCTGCCCCCGAGTGTACCACCACCACCCCCTCTCGGCCGACGCGTATGCATAGAAAGGCAATGCATAGATCCAGCGAGGGTTAAATTTCTTCGTGATCATGAGAGGAAATGCACCCTCTGGACCACACTTAACAAGCTATATCTAGAAACAATGCTAAGAAATGTCTCCTTGACCTTATCGTATCCTCTTGCTCACCAAGTAACAGTAATTAACAATCTGCGAGTCAGGTGCTAATCCGCACCTGGTAACCGATAGAAGAGAGGAAAAGAAACAACTGGAGAATAAAAGCCGCACGCCTCAGCCACAGCCCAGAACAGTGTCTACTTTCGTCGTTGACACTTGACTGACAGTGGCAGTAGCGGCAGCATGACACCACCGAGCAGACTAGTCCTCGGGGTGTCCCTCGTGGCACTCCTGCTTCATATTGCTTACGGTGAGTTTCGGCTTTGGAAGGTATAATTGTGTGCAAAAGATACGTATAGGCGCCCACTGAGCACGCTGACACTTCAGTAACTCATGCGTGCTGAGCACCCAGTAGCCCCAGCGTGCACTGAACACTCAATAACTCTGACTCACCAAATAGACAGTAGCCGTTTTCACGACGGGCTATCCGGTGAATGCATCTAATTTGACCAAATCTGCACCTATATCTCTTTTACAGTAAATATCTTTATTTTATGAATTTTTTCAGTGTTTTATTCGATGGTACCCTCTGATAATATGGCAAAGCAGGCATAAGCAATTAGTGCAACCCTAGCTGATAGCTATTAAGAGATACACTAAACCTAATTTGACCAAATCTGCGCCTAATCTGCACCAAATGTGCACCAAATGTGTACCAGATGGCCGTCGTGAAAACGGCCAGTAACTCCAGCCCACTGAGCTTTCTGTAACCCCGCGGCGCCCGTGTCCGACCGTCAGGCTCGGGGACGGTGTTCGATGCCAACCTGTTCCAGCAGACGTTCGACGTCCTGGGAGCGCGCTCCTGTCTGCCGGCCGACTTTAACAACTCGACTGTCAGTGAGCTGGCGAGCGCCTGCAAGGCCAGAGCCACCGCTCCGGTCCAGCCGGCCGAGTGTGCCGGTGCCACCTCGCTGGGACGATTCTACAACTGTCTGACCAGAGAGTGAGCGACCTCAGGGACGGAGCAGCGTCCTCAGGTTGTGGAGGGCCTGTCGATTGCTTGGGTAGCGAGGGAACGGGAGTGTTCTGTGTTCTTTATCAGTCAGACCGGACGACATTCATGGGACACTAGGCATTGTGATAGCATTTCCTGCAGCTTTTTGTCATTTTTATTCTTCTTGAGGTGCATTTGACCTATCAGCGATACTTAAAATATTATTCAATTTATATTAGAAATACATAGATTCCTGGTAAATTAGCCGCGCATGACTAGGGGGGGGGGGGCTTTATAGAGCCCCTCCCGGTTTTTATGTAATATCTTGAAACCTCTTAATGTATCAACACGAAACTTGAGTATCTGCCTTTAGCGGCATCAATCTGACATCTTGTGTCTAACTCTAAATTAAAACTTTCTAGCTATTATCGGTCGGCCGAAAATGACGTCATGGTAACGTCATGTCGGCCGATTTCGATTCAAAACATTGAACTACGGAAATCGCTCTCAAGAGCTCAGTTTTAAAGATAAATCTAATTTTTTTTTGCATGAGTAGACTTAGAAGATATATGCTCTCCGGTACCTAGGATGACCTGACCTTGACCTGAAAAAATTGGAGTGCAGGTTTGGTACCCTCACGGTATCTTAGGCATATATAAACCAATGGACAAACCAAGAATGAGCCTGGTCGGGCGTTTGGACCGGTGGCCAGAGCCTAAATTGTGAACAAGTCAAAGTGTTGATAATTTTTTTTTTGACCTGAACTGTGACGTCATCGATGAACTCGAGTCAATGAAATTAGGTTTCGCTCGACAGTTTTTTTCCAGGGCCACCAAACGCCGTTTGAATTTTGTCAGTCAGCCAAGTAGTTTCAGAGATAGGAGGGGGGGGGGCTCTGTAGAGCCCCCTTCCCTCAGTCACTCGCGTTATTGAAAATACCCCAGTCATGCGCGGATTAATATCCATTGCGCGGATACGTTCAAAGGCAAATCTGCATGAACTTATCTTTCCGTCAAAGGAAATTCACGTTCGTAGGTACTGATCATGACACTGGAGTGTATGAAATTATCTATTCGTGAGTCCGTGACCGAGTCTGTGACATTTCCCCAGACGCGGAATTCTGAACGCTGACGCCACTGTGCTCGACACTGCCCGCGTGGTGGCCGGCATCACCCGGTACTCACGGGACCCCGCCTGGATCGCCAAGACCACGCGGACTGTGCACGAGTGCCTGGAGTACGCCTCTGACGGCCTGACGACGCGCCAGCTGACTGTGTACACCTACCTCTGCCTCAAGTGGAGCCTGTTCGCCGACTGCGACATCCAGCAGGAGCGGCGCGGGGCCCTGGACGAGGAAGCCGCGCTGCGCAGGGCCCGCTTCCTCTCTGGATACTGTCCGCTGAGCCCCAACACGCTCAGAGGAGTCCTGGAGCACATCACCGGGCGAACGCTGCAGGAGTGCGGAAAGGGGCTCTACGCGGGCTACGAGCCGCACCAGCTGTACCAAGCCGAGATCGCCCGCCTCGTGTGCCTGTTCCAGAAGTTTATCGGCGCCGACGGCACGATCGACCTGCAGGCCGTGAAGCTGGCCATCACCTACGGAGAGGGCGACAAGTTCCGAGAGGCGGTGGAGGGCTGCATCCGCACCCAGACCAAGGCCGGCTCGGGCGGCTACAACCGGCTCACTGCCGAGGAGTTCGTCCGGTGCTGGGCCGACAGGGGCGTCATCAGCTGCGTCCATCAGGAGGCCAACCAGGTGGGCGCGCAGCACCCCGACAACTGCGACGTCACCCTCAGCTTTTAATGTAACCCCACGCCATTGACGTCACCCTCGGCAATTGACGTCAAACCTCGGCAACGGAGATTAACGTCAACGGCGCCAATTCATCTTGCATTTGACTCAAGCACTTTTTATAGGGCAACGACTGAGTAATGCATCGGAAGATCATAGCAAATTTGAAGCACATTTACAATGCTTATAACCTAGCGAAACATTTTATCATTGCGGCTGTGTGACTTTTGTTATATTTGCCGAAGATCACGTCGTGCAAAAAAAAAGCTTAATACCTGCAGTGTCCAACGGATGCAAATAAAGTCGACTGCTTCCAGTGGTTTGAACATTACCTATTGGTTTTGTAGCGTTCTATGTCGTCAATGGAATATGCTCCTGCTTACCCGAAGTTTGACGAATGGATCCTTATTGATGTGAAAATGATCAATAACATGCCAAAAATTGTATTGGTTCTTTAGTTTACCAAAGAGAAACAAAAGAGACAAGCTTTCGACATCACTGTCATCATCAGGTCTCTTTGGTAAACTAAAGAACCAATACAATTTTTGGCATGTTATTGATCATTTTCACATCAATTTTGACTATAATGTCTTCACTCATGCCAACCATCCAAACGATTAACCCTAGAACGCCTAGGGGGGGTTGTATCAACCCCCCCCCCCCTGAGGTTTTTTCGAAGTGCACGCTAAACGGCTTGTCGTAGCGGGCTGAAATTTTCTATACCCTCTGGGGCAACCTTTGCGCATCTTTTGCCGAAAAAAAAAATTGATCGGGTCATGTCAGGTCACGGAGTTATGACGTCATAAGAGGTACAGCCTCCGGCCGGATTTTCACAAACTGAGTGCCAACGCCCGAGGTTTCCTGCCGGTGGTACGGACATCGGTTGATGGATCGTGATGAAACTTCCCATGCATGTTGGGGCAAGTATTGGCTATCATATGGTATAAGAAATTTGACCGGGTCAGGTCAGGTCACGGAGCTATGACGTCACAAGAGGAACAGCGTCCGGTACTATTTTTGAAAAGCGCCCGAACCACTATTTTGCTAATTCTTGTCACCTCAATGGGAATATGCAGCAATATTAGCTTCTATAGGGAGCAAATGGACCTCCCAAATCCAAAAATACAATCAGATTTCAAAAATTTAAATTTTGATTTTTCGAATTTCTGCCGCCGACTGTGACCTTGCCGACTTCCGGCGCTCCCAACGCGCCATTTTTAGAGCTAGGGAAACGAAATACATACCAAACGATAGATAATTGATCAAGAAACACGATAGTGAAGGTTTCAAGTCGATATCTCCCACCGTTTTGCCGCAATCGCCGCCGAAAGTTGAAAAAGTCTATTTTTTCCGAAAATTTGACCTTTGACCGGTCAAAAGTAGGTCAAATGTTGACCTAGGACCAAAAAATATACCACCAATCGCGAGATCTCGTTGAGAGCAATCCGTTGGTTTTTTCCGCTAAGCTCTACGACCTTCCGTTTCGAAACGCCAGGGGGGGGGGTCGTAACAACCCCCCCCCCCCTGGTCGTTCGTGTTATGAGAAATGGCCTGGTCGTGCGAGGGTTAAAAGAATGGATCCTTATACCTATAGTTACGGGATATAATGTTTCATCAATAAAAAGACTTTCACGAAACTTATTTACAAGCTCTTAGATTTTAACTGATGGTATTTTGTTCAAACAGCACAAAGCATGAATTGATTGTATTCAAACATGCTCAAGAATGCCGAATGAGCTATATCTTGACATTATATCAATAAAACATCACAGGTGCAATATAGGACAAATACGATGAAACACTAACAAATGGGCGATGAAACTGTCACCACGAAATAAGACAACAACGAACAGCCCGTACCTATGCCCACTTTTTCGATATTTGAACCACCTATCCTTCTTTGAACGCTAAATAATGGTACGAGGTGTTGCGTACTATTTTCTCCGAATTCATTGAGACATCCAGGTTACTCAGCCTCCGCCGAGATAACACAGTCGTTGGGGAACTCCTTGGCCAGCTTGTTGGCCTCCTGGAAGGCACAGCTGAAGGTGCCCTTGCTGGCCCAGCACTGAGCGAACTCCTTGACGGTGATGGCCCTGAACTGGCCGGCGCGGGTGGCGCCCTCGCCCTTTCCGCAGGCGTTCATCATCTTGAGCACGTGGACGGCACCCGGGCGGCCCCGCGTGATGGACGCCCGCAGCTGGTCGAAGTCGATGGACCCGTCAGACTTGGTGACGTCCTGCAGCAGGCAGGCCAGCCGGGCCACGCCGGCCTCGTACAGCTGGTACGGGTCACTGCCCTGGTAGAGTCCGGCGCCGCACTCATCCAACGTCCGTCCGGTGACGCGCTCCAGAATGGGCTTCAGCGTGTTGGGGCTCAGCGGGCAGCTGCCGGAGAGGAAGCGGGCCCTGCGCAGCGCTCCCTCCTCGTCCAGGGCGTCTCGCTCGTCCTGCTGGCGGTCGCAGTTGGCGAACAGACTCCACTTGAGGCAGCCGTACGAGTAGACGGCGGTCTGGCGGCCGGTCAGTCCCGGCGCCGCGAACTGCCGGCACCGGTCCATGATCTGGGCCACGGCGTTGTTGTAGGTCCGGTCGCTGCTGTAGCTGGCCATTACAGCCATCAGGCCGTCCACGTCAAAGGAGGAGGCGTCGGCGCTCAGCAGGCCGTTACTGTGGAAACAACATCATTTTGACTGTTATTGGGATTGGAACATGCTGACTACAACTGATGGCAGTAAAACATATGAAACACTCCCTACTACATCAAACAGGCAAAGCCACCAGTCACGAGCTGGTTGCTGGTGACCAGCTGCTGACCTGCCGGCGAAGCTGTTGTAGAAGAGGGCCAGCAGCGGCACGCCGGCGCACTCGGCGGGCAGGCTGCCGGTGGTCACCCTGACAGCGCTGGCCGACGCCAGAGGCACCGTCTCCGACGCGTCGAAGTCGGCGGGCAGGCACTGGCGCGGGCCCAGCGTCTGGAAAGTCGGCTGCAGCTGGTCGGTGACGAACACCGAGCTGTCGGCACAGCCTGCAGAAGGGACGGCCGTCACACGCGCGGGACTCGAAAGTCAACGTGTACCAGGACACAGCGCGAATGGTCACAGCGGATGCATGAATAGCATGCAAATGACGGAGCTCAGCCAAGTGATTGTGATTATTTATTTATTTAATGAGATGGAAGCGATATGCACTGCAAAAGGCATTGATTACGAAAAACACTACATACCTCAGCGTAAAACTGTGTGTGCTTAAAACAGATGTGTGAATTAAAATAAACCTACCTCCGTGGACTGCAAGCAGCCCAACAAAAGCACCAATGGTAAGGCCCATCAGAGGTGTCATGATGCTGCCTTTGCTGCTGCTGCCGCTGCTGCTGCCGCTGCCGCTACCGCTGCCGCTGCTGCAGTGTGTCTGCTACCAAAATCTATGGCCTTTTTATTCCACCGCTCGTCCTTCCCTGCCCTCCACGGATGACTGCACCAGATAAACCGCCCCGAGAGAGCACCTGCACTTACCGTTGTCGGCATTCCTATGATCTATCAGGGTCCATCCCTGCCCTAAAATGTGCATACACCTGACTGGGAAGTTTTTGCAAGCTAGCTTCATTGCAAACTGACTGGCTAACAAGCCGGGTTGCAATTCACCTTGGGACATTCTCATCAGCGTAGCAGTCAATATATTGGTCGTTGGGTTGCCTACACAGATACCTGTCTGATTGATGATGGTTAAGGCATGCCGTTTTCTCTCAGTATGACATGGCAACTATTCACATGCATTACGGGATTTTTTTAGGAGATGATAACTTCTAGAAGCACTTCTAAATTGACGCCTGGGCTAGCTAGCAACACTCCGTGGAGAAGGTGCCGTGTATCCCATAAACAAACTTTGAGGTGCCTATTCAGTTTCAGCATTTGCAAGTCCCGAGCCGAGATCACAGGGTCGTTAGTCATTATACATAGATATACCTACCTGCTCGTGTGTTCAGGCTCTGATATCCCGCGCCCCAGTGTCAGTCTGGATTTTCCACGACCTGGTGTGGGGGGTGTTTGAACACCCCCCCCCCCCTTCTAATTCGGCTCCTGGGCCACGTAGCGACACTCAGTAAGCGGCAATCGAAAGAACGTCAAAATAAGGACGAAAACACTTCGGTCATTTTTTGGGTCAGGTCAAAGGTCAGGTCACCAGAGGTCACCAAAGGTAAAATGTTGACTATTTCAACATTTTGGAAACTGCCAACGGCTGTCTCGGGAACCGATAAAGCTACAGCGCCGCGGAAAAGCGCATTCGATAGCCCTTTTACAGACCTTTCTGATTAATGTTCTCAGATTTGACCTCAGGTCAACGGTTTAGCCTCCAGAGGGCAAAAACTAAAAAAATAGCTGTTTTTACGAAAATCTTTTTTTTTTTGGCGATAACTTTTGACTCAAAAGAGCCATGACATTAATTTTGCCAGCATCGTGTTCCTCTCGTCGAGACGCGTCGAATGAATTATAAGTTGATCTTGAAAAGTCAACTTGAAAAGTTGACCTCAGGTCAAGGTCATGACCTGACCGGAAAAGGTCATGTTGCATATCAGTCGATCCGCAACGTCGAGCCGAACACATCTAAGGCATTTTCAGCGCTCTAGCACGCCTCTATCAAAAGTTATTAGCGAAAAACTTGCGAATTAGCGATTCTGTTCGTGACCTGAGATGACCTCGGGGACATAACGAGGGGTCACAGTTGCCATTTTCCGGTTCAGTGTGTCAATTCTACCTACATCTCGATGTTTGAGAGTGTCTAGAATAGCGTTCGTGCAAAACAGACGCTTTTCAATTTTCTCCCATTGCAATGGGAGTCAATGCATTGACTTATGGAGAGGCCGCAAAATTGACCTGACCGTAGGTCACTGATATCAAAATTCCGAGATATACATTTTATAGATAGGGGAGAGTGGGGCACATTCGTGCAAAAAATGGATAAATCCATATATCTGTTCGTCGGTTAGTGCAATGGCAAAATTGTTGATTGTAGTATGGGAAGGAACTATTGCAGATATTTTTCCTCTTTAAAAGTTATCCTCTAAAGTTATCGCTTCCATTAGAAAAAAATGACTTTTAATAACTCTGAACGTTTGCACGAAACTGCCCCAGGTATGGGGCACATTCGTGCAAGGGGTGGGGCACTTCCGTGCACCCTGCAAAGTTCGAGGAATTACCGGGCATTGCCAGAAATTTACCAAAAGAAATTGGCAGGGGGTCCTTTCACTTGATTCCTTTCGACAAGAATGCATTGCTCAACATATGTAGAAAGAATGGGCTGGCCAACAAGAATGTGCCAACTGCCGGCC